CTGGTTTAATTTTCCATCTCATTGCAATAGTATGATGTAAACATTTTTGGCTTATTTGTTTTTGTCATCTGAAATAACCTTATTCTACATATGGAGTTTCACAAATCAGAAATGCTTTTCTTTTTCTTTCTTTCTTTTTCTTCTATTTCAAATTGTCCAAATTAGAGACATCTTTTTTATATATTATTTTTTTATACTCGTAATGCTCATACTTTTCAAGTTCAAAAAGTAAAGTACTATGCAATTGTATGGGAGGGATTAAAATCAGATTAAAATTGAAAATATAACTGTTATTGTTGACTTTTATTAGATGAGTGGGACCTAATAACGGCTAAATTTTCAATTTTAATTTGATTAAAAGCTCTCTCAAACAAAGCTTATAATTGAAATATGATAATGGAATAAAATTAGCTAAGCCTAAGATTATAAGCTCCCAGCTTGGTCTCATTTTTAAAAATTTATTTTTAATTTTTAATCACATATTTTTCAATAAAAAAAATTTCGCATGGACCCGTAATTTTATTTTGTTACTTTTTAAATATTCTGAAAAAATTAATTTTCACAAAATCTATTCTAAAAATTATCTACCAAACAGGGCTAAAAGCTTGAAGTAGTTTTATTTGTTTTCATTTTGTAGTCAAAAATAAAATAGTAATGTTTTAATAAAAATAAGAAAGTTAATCTTAAACAAAATATTATTAAGATGTAACTATTCTATAGGAAATAAAAATATATATTTCCTTCAAACTCAAAGCAAGAAAAAAGAAAGCCGGGAAAAAATAGTTTATAATTAAATATAAAGAGGAGAGGACAAAGTGGAAAATAAGACTAATTTTGGACACCGATTTATAAATAGTTTATAAATTCAGTCAATTAATACTCATTTATTATCCACAAAATTTATATAATCCACTATTCATTTCCTATAACTATATAATATATTAAATATCGCCTTAAGATCAAGCGAGAATAAAAAATTTAGCCATACTATAATTTAATTATTTTAATAATACCTTATTTTTCGTTTTTGAATATATATTTAATTTATTTAACCATTTAGTTATTATCAATGTACATGTATATTTGACAAATTCATTTCACCCGTTTGCTTTCATTAATGTATGAATTCCATATTATTAACTCTTGAATAATTACATTCATTTAATTAATACTCGTCTTTATTTATGCATTTAAGTATTATTAATTCTAATTATAAGTTAATTAAAATTTCATATTCAGTAATGCATTTCATTATTTACGTCAATGTACGTTAATTAACATCTCATTTTACTTAATTGAAAATTAAATAAATAATTTAACATTCATCGTCACGTATATATTNNAACATTCATCGTCACGTATATATTTCTTGGTATTAATTTTAAATTAAGCGTCTGTTTGGCCAGCATTATTCCCAAAATGAAAATGTGAAATAATGCAGTTGGACACCAAAACCAAGAATTGTGCGAGGAGAAAGTCAAAAATAATCAGCAAGTGGGGCCCCCTCAACGGTTCAAATTCTTCTGAAGAGGAAGAAATAATGTAGGCCAAACAGGGGCTAACTAACATTCGCACATATTCAAATATTACTTCTACAGCACTTATAAAATATTTCATAATAGTTGCACGTTCAACATTGACCAGTGATTTAAAAATTTATCGAATGATTGTTATTTGCTTAAGGAAGGAGTTTGTAATTTCTTACTATTGAAGGTAAGCAAAATATTATAGTTTGATATTTCAATCAGGGTGATACTACATATACATAATGGAGTGTTTATAAAGGTGTCGACTCTCTCATATGAAAGGGGATCAACTTCGAATAAAATATAATATATTCAAAGTGGGTCCCGCTTCATATGAGGATGAACACCATTATGAACACGACATTATATACAAGTAGCATATTCTTTTCAAAAATGTCCACGTAATTTTCCTTAGGGATAATTGCAGCAAAGGTC